GGTTACGAAATTCTTTTCTTGTAAGGAAGGTTGATAAGTCAGACATAATGAATTTTCTCTTCCTAATCAATTTATTTAAATTCAATTGTGACGCTTCGTTGATCTCAGATCAATTTCATCACACAAAAGTACAAACTTTGAATTCTCTACTGCATCCGACATATATATATATATGGCACAAGTCTTTGTTCTATTTGTTCTCTTTAATAGTGATACAGAAAGATTAAAAACCGGACTAGACACCTTACCGTCTTGTTTCTGTTCTTGCTTCCTTACAAGAAAAGAAAAGTATCGCAAAAGCGATAAAAACTGAAACTTATTTTTCACGATCACCCTAGGAGTTTAGATAAAATGTTTTTTCATGATCAAGTCTGCCAGTGAAAAACAGTTCACCGAGCGAACTCTAACTCACTTGCATTTATTTTCATCGTACATTTAGAATCAGAGAATTCTGTCAATGAACTTGATTTACTACTGGAAACGAGTAACTTTCCAGGTGTTTTCTATGATTTGGAATTGGCAAATAATGAAAAAACTCTCAAAGATGTAGTCAAAATGGTTGTTGATGGAATTTCTCGTGAATGTTGTAATTCACTGCCTCTCGGTTCCGATAAGACATGTGTGATGAGAGACCTTCTATGGAAAGGATTTGCAGGTGACATCGTTGAGGCAACTGACAAGGTAGATCCATATGTAAAAATTTCAGAAGAAGCTGCAAATACATGCATTGAAATTTTTGTGAAACTTCTGAATAAACCACTTAAACGAATATTAAACAATCTTCCGTCTGTAAAACGATCTCAAGTGAAATCACTCGGACCCTACTGCTGGCTCTTGTATCGTGCATTAAGAAAAAATAAAACAAGTGACATACCAATCGCATACGCTGGGTTAGCCCTGGAAAGCGAAGAGATGGCAAATTACATGAAACCAGAAGTAAAATTTACAAGCTTCACACTGGGATACAAAGAACGTGAACATGCCGAAAATTATAAAAGAGTGTTCGAAGGTGTGTACAAACAGTCAGTTCTGACGATTGAAGGTGGCATTGTTATCTTTAAAAAAGTAACGAGTCGCGACTAGGTTAAAGCAACATTTTTCGTCAATTGAATTACAGATGAAAGGAGGTTGATCGACTTTTTAATTGCACAAAAAGACTGAATATCAAATTTTTGAAAAGTGGTTTAGACCGCGATCATTGAAGAGAGTTATTACAGTAGTTTTCTGAAAGACATGAGTCGTTTTTAATAGCTCTGAGACCAGGAGTGTCTCATAAACCGGAGTTTTACTTGCTAACAGAGTGAATCTTGAAACATTTCGTACGAAAAAGAATTGATTTCCAGAAAGAGAAAAATTAAGATTTTGAAGATTTGCATTTCGACCAGAAATGCAATAACTGTGGAACCTCCAAGCGAACATTTTAGTTGCGTTTAATTTTTCGAGAAACTTCAAAAAGATCTAATTTTGTTATGAGAGGAAACTATTCTAAATTGGTTTTCATTTCGCAGGGGATCTGGTAAACTTGGCTTCAACTTTGGGTATGCCACTTTAGTAATTATTCTAAGTTAAGCTAAACAGTTCATTAGTAAAAATTTTCGGTTAGCGGTTAAAAACCCATTGAACAATGGTAGACACATTTGCCAGGGATCATTGAGATATTTAAATATTGAAGTAAACACTCAAATTTCGATTCTAAACGATTATCCGAAGAGAATGCACCCATTGAGAAACCATCAAGAAGATCTCAAATGGATCAACAGATACGATGGGAAATTCAAGAATGATTTAATTGAGAAACATACAAAGAAATTAGAAAAATTGTAGAAAGAGAAGAGAGAAGAGGAAACTAATCTAAAGTCGACAAATTCAGCATCGAAGAAAACAACCACTTCTAACGTTGTCAACCTATCTAAACTGGAATTGAATGAAAAACAACTGAAACTCCTCTCTAAGGGCCGCAAGTTTGTTCCCACAGCTCGTTCGATCGACACTATTACTAACATAGTCAATTATGAAAATGCCTTTGGGAAGAAATCTTCTATCATCAAGACAGCTGCAATAGCAGAGGTAACAGAATTCATTCAAAAGTGGAAGCCGCCGAAGAAATTGAACATGACGAAAGAAGAAATCACAATTTTGAATGAACTAAAATCAAATGATGATGTAATCATTGTACAAGCTGATAAAGGTGGCAAAGTAGTGGTACTTGGTAAACTAGATTATATATCTAAAATTGAAGATAAATTAAACGATCAGTGAGTTTATGAAAAAGTGAAGAAAGATCCTACAAAACATATTTTCGATAAGATCAAGACTGAAGCAGATAAATTATTAACATTAGATAAAATCACCTTAGCTCAACATTGTGAACTAATTGGAATAGAAGATTTACCAACAGTACGTGGCCAACCTAAATTACACAAAGTTAACAATCCAATGAGAATTATAACTTGTTCTCGTGACACTATCACTTCACCAATCTCAAAATTCGTTTTTAAGATTATTAAAGACCTAAGAAAAACAGTTAGTGGGGTGGTCACTAATACTGCTCAATTTATTGAAGAAATTGCTAATTCACCCATTGGAAAAGATGAATATTTAGCAAGTTTAGACATACAAGAACTATTTACAAATATTCCTATTACAATAGCAGTTGATATTGTAATTCAAAGATTAGTTGAATCCAAGAAGTTAGAGAGCTTTCTTCTGACTAAGACTGAGGTGAAGAGATTAATTCTAGTGTCCTTGAAGAACAGTTATTTTCAATTCAATGGAAAATATTATCTTCAGTCTAAAGGACTACCTATGGGCAATACGTTATCACCTTTAATTGTTGATATTCACATGGACCATTACTTGAAAACTCATATGAAAGAAATTAATGGTGATAAGAAAATATTTAGAAACGTAGATGATATATTAATCGTTACAAAAATGAATGATCAACAGTTAAGTGAATATGTAAACAAACTAAATATTATTAGAAGTAAAATCAGATTTACGTACGAGTTTGAACACGATAATAAGATTTCATTTCTTGATACAACTCTCCGTAAACAAAATGATAATAATCAAATGAAAATTAAAGTGAGATGGTTTCGATGCTGAATTTGTCGACTTTAGATTAGTTTC